ATATCCACACTTGGAGAACTCTGTTTCTTGATGATGAACAAAAGTGATGGACCTTTGGTTCAACAATGGATATAGTTCAGCATTCTGTTTTTTATAGTAACCAGTCAGTTGCTAAGAACCCGCATAAGTACAACAGCAACATTCTTCTTACACCTTTGTTGGTGCTGACAAGTATACTGGTTATAATATATAAAATCGTCATGAATAGGAGCTTTATGTCCACCCATTTCTCTAATCCTTTTTTAGGCCCATTATTGGTGTCCATTGTCATCATTGATGCTACAAATATACCGTAAACTTTAACTGTATTATATGAAGGACATTTTTTTGTCTATGCTGTATCTATTTCATTCGATTGTTCAACTCTTCTTGTTTATCCTAATATTAAAGAAAGGCAAGCTGGCAGAAAAAAATTCCTATCTATATAATATATATAAAGCTGCCCAGTACAGGTTGTCCTCAACTTACAACCACAATTGAACCCAAAATTTCTGATGTTAAGTGAGACATTTAGTAAGTGAATTTGCCCCATTTTATGTCCTTTCTTGCCTCAGTTGTTAAATGAATCTGGCTTCCCCATTGACTTTGCTTGTCAAAAGATGATCACATGACCTTTGGAACAGTCATAAATAGGAAACAGTTGCTAACCATCTGAATTTTGATCACATGATCATAAGGATGCTGCAAAGGTCATAATTCGGAAAAAATGGTCATAAGTCACTTTTTTCAAAGTGTTGTTCAAGCTGTTGCAACTTTGAACAATCACTAAGTGAACTGTTACAAGTTGAGGACTGTCTGTATTCACTTTTTCCAAAATGAAAAGGGTTAATATTTTTACCTTGTATATTTTAACCTTTATTTGTAAGAGATCTGAAACCAGGATTATTATCACTAGAGTTGAAATGTACTAAGTTTATAGTATACAAGAGTGTTGTGATTCAAAACCAGAAGCATCCAACCTTGTATTTGCCACAGAGATGTTAGATTTTTTTTTCTTTTTAATGCACTTTTTAATGAATTGTTTTACAATTGGTCAGAATCAGGCAGCAAATAAATTTAACATATTATTTTCTTTCTCTAATGTTGAGGGTGCTACACAAAGTAACAAAAAACATGTAATGGTGTCCCATCTATTGGCAGTTCATTTATACTTGCTTTGTATCACTGGCAGCGATTCAACCAGTGGTGGGATTCAGCCAGTTCGCACCACTTCGGGAGAACCGGTTGTTAACTTTCTGAGCAGTTTGGCAAACTGGTTGTTGGAAGAAATCATTAGGGTAGAAAACTTACTTGAGGAAATTACTTGAATCCCACCACTGGATTCAACCCATACATGTGCCACAATTATCTACGTATTAATTTGTTATTTATACATGGACAAGGAATTATAAAGATTGTATAGTTAGTGCTCAGTGTACTTTTGATTAGTAACAATAAAAAAGTACTGTGTTTAACTACATTAAATTGTTTTGACAATGTAAGTAAGAATTTAAATCTCTGAGCCAAGTGCCAAAATCTCCACTATCTATGACTTACAAATACAAAAAAGAAAAAGAAAAAACTGTTAGAGCATTATGTATTTAATACAATATATAATATTATATAAATTGTAACTTCTCCTTTCTTTTACTCTGAATAAGGTACAATTTTTATAGATATTTAAATGTTTTTGTGAGTCTCTGATTTCTGTCTTTATTCAGTTATTTGTTTGTTTTTTGCACTTCCTTAAAAACCATAGTTTAGATACTTTCATTTGCCTTTGCTCTGTAATATATAGCATGTATGGAAACCTTTCTTGCTTAAATTTAGTTACTCTTCTGTTTTGAAAATATGCTATTAATTTTGCCATTGCTGCACATTCTCGGAGTTTAAATTCCCAGTCTGATATTTTCAGTGACATATTTTCTTAAGAGCAAAGTATGATTATCAGTGTATTTTTTGAATCATCACTTTATATATCTATTATCTTCCTTGAGAATGTTGTTTTTCTTGCCTATTTAGAGGTGAAAGAGGTGAAACTTGGAGAAATTTTAGATTATGATAGCTCAGAATACATATGATTGAGGATTGAACTTTAAATTGTAGTTCATCCTATTTCTGTATAGATTCTAATGGCATAGATACATAGTAATAGATAATATGCTGAAGCTTCTCCAATAGTAATAGTTGATATATTGTTTCTTAAATATAAAAATGCCTGAATATGTTCTTGTTTGGATCAACTTTAAAGTTTGTCACTTGAAATTGCTCCCAAGTAATTGATGTCAGCGTTCAAGGTTTTTGTGCTAATCATCTGAAAATAAATTATGATAATTTTTAGATAAACTACTTGCTTGTATAAATTCTTGTGTTTGACTAAAATCTATGCAGATTTACATTTTTATTAATTCATAAATATAAATTGAAGATCCTTCTTTAATATGTTACCTTTAGTGCTTGTTTTCTCATAACTGACTCATTCTCTGTGAACAACTAAAGCGGTTTTCATATTCCCTCTACTGAATTTAAGAATTCCTTTATGTTTAAATAAATGAATTAGCTTGTGTTTTTAGGAGGTTCACATATGTATACTAGAATGTGGAAGACTGTAGAGTTGTGGAAAGACAAGAGGAAAGGTTAATTAAAATGAAATCTTAGCAGCCTGCCATTAATTCCCAATTGTAACGTAAGAGTCATTTTTAGTTTTATTTCGACTCTCTATCTGTTCCAGTTATCTTAAAATTTTAAACCAGTAGGACTGAAAGTTTGTACTTTCATCTTGCAAGACTCCGTTAAAGTAGACTTAATAAAGTAGAATAAGTTCATTTTATCATGTTTCCTGTCTGGTTTACTTGGAGAGCTGACAATGGCAGTTCATTCAGAATCCCAATTGCCAAATCCCAAGAATTGAAGTTACCAGGGCTCCAGAATTCTCACAATTTCTACTGTGGCATGAATCGGAATAGTGTCCCATATATTTGGGCTCCTGAGAAATACAGTTTCGCAAGCACCTAACATGAAGTAAGATTGGAATGTGAAATGCTGACAGGGTCATGTGTCACAACTTAATGGAAGCTTCCTTACTACATGCACCCCAGTCCAATTGTTACACTGTTTATTTATTTTATTTATTTATTTGTCACATTTCTATGCCGCCCAACTCCCTGGGGACTCTGGGCGGCTTACAGCAAAAAAATAATGTGAAAAATATACCATAAAAGTTGTTTTAAAAAAACATTAAAAACCCATACACTCCATTCATGGCCGGGTCTCGCAAGATTGCAGCAGCGACATCAACGGCCCCAGGCCTGATGGAAAAGCCAGGTCTTCACCACTTTCCGGAAGGCCAATAGGGTGGGGGCAGTCCAGACCTCAGGAGGTAATTGGTTCCAGAGAGCTGGGGCAGCCACAGAGAAGGCCCTCCCCCATGGGCCCGCCAGCAGACATTGTTTAGCTGGCGGGACCCGGAGGAGACCAACTCTGTGGGATCTTACCGGTCATTGGGAGCTATGCGGTTCTGTTCGTTCAGTTTAGAGGAAAAAAAGAAATATGAGGGAGTACCTTCAAGATTTATAAGACTTTGTGGACTCAAAATTGTGGAGGTTTAAGACTACATCCAGAAGATACCAAGTTTAGGAAGGTTGACAGATAAATCATATGCATATTCGTTGATCTAAAAGGTTATGATTCTTTGATCTACCACTAATCACCTAGCAATTGACAAATTATGCTAGCATTGGCCAATTCTCAACCCTTCGGGATAGGCCAGGCAGGAAACAGATACTAGAAGGATTTATTGCTGTAACAAAATCTTCAGTCATGAACAAAATCTTATCTAAATTCTCTCTGTCTCGTCTTAGACTAAAGCAAATTAAGGTAGGGTTATTTAAATTTCTTTTTCACTATTCTTTCTACCTCTTGACTTCATGTCTCACTCAAACCCTCCCAAACATCAGCTTTAAAAATTTTTACACCAACAGATATAACACAGCAGCTAGTCCAGGGTTTCTGCCGCTCATCCTTACAATTTTTTTCTTTAAAAAAAAAAAATCAGGGATAGCCATTTTCTTATTTTTCTTATTAAAAAGAAATCAACATTTTCTGTAACACATAGTATATATTCCTAAATAAATACATTTAGTATCTAGAACAGCTGTTTTCCTTTTCACCTATTATAGTGCCACAATTTGAGAGAATTTGAAATGTGAAACTGCAGATAGCCAGATTATTTCTTTTTAATTTATATCTGGCAGTAGTCCCATCCCCCCCCCACTTTTCCAGGTATCAGGAGTTTAAAAGCTGCTGTAGAGCCTGTAATGGCAATAGATAGAAGAGGAGAAATGTAGTTGTGTGGTACACAGCTGAAATTCAGCATAGCCATCTTAAAGCATTCACTTCCCCATAAGACACAGTCTAAATTTCTATATTTGCAACCACAGGATGAATATTTATTCCAGTCAACAAACAGTGTCTTACATACAATAGTATTGTGTCAGTTTGAAATAAGATGGTTTATTAATTGATGTAAGTTTCACATGGCTTTCATAAATGTTTATATACCAGCATCAATGTTCTGTCATAAATTATTCTTGCAACTATATCTAAAGCCCAACTACCTGTCAGAATACAATTTAAATCTACACATTTATACTGAAAAGATTACATTTTCAGGATCACTGTGTTTTCCAAATGTGAACCTATCTGACAGAAATGTGTTGATTAGTTTTGGTTGTGTTTAAATAAAACAGTAAATGTGTGGGCATGCTTGTGAATAAAGACAGGATCATAATTCCTTGTTAATTTTCAAATTACTACTATTCAAAATCATTTCTTTCTTCTCTATTTTTCTGAAAGGAACATCTTGTCATTTCTCTTCTAAGTACAAGTAATGTTTTATGCATTTTAATGTGTTAATGTTTGTAAGGAAAATCCATTGTTTATGACAGTTACGTTTTATCTGTTTGTATATATTTCATTGTATGTAATGGCTCATTTTTTCAACTCTTTTTTTTCTTTTGCAGTCACTGGATGGATTTGTATTTGCACTAAACCAAGAGGGAAAGTTTTTGTACATTTCGGAAACCGTCTCCATTTATCTTGGCCTCTCCCAAGTAAGTAGAACATTTAATGATGCACATTCCATTTTAAGGCTCGCTCTTTTTAAAATGGCAAGACGTTCTGGAACTTTTCACATCAGGTTGAATTTATAATTTAATGGCTTGGTTTTACACATCCTAGAAGGTGTAGGTTGATAAAGAATGTTCCAGTGGAAAAAGAAAAAGTGGGAGCTTGAAAAACCTTTTCTCCCATAAAAAATCATTACTAATTTATTGAGAACAAATGAAGTTTCTTTTCTCAGTTGTTTTGAACTTTAAACCTCCATGGCTGTTAGGAAAGGGACACAGACATAGTACTTCCCTTGTGCCCTATTACTGGATGTTTATGGAGAACCCGACGTTATCCTGGGAGCTGACACAATGGCAGGGAGTCTCTTGGAGTCAGAAAATGCTGAAAGAAACCATTAAAAAGACTTACAGGGAGGATTTCAAGAAGGACACAGTCTGCTCTTTTTGCACATGTATAGTAAATGGGTAGAGAAGAGTTTTATGAAACAGTGCAGTGTAAATTGTTCTTTTGTATCATTTCATTTTAAAGTCTAAGATTTTATGAAGAGGAAGAATTATTTTTTTATTTATTACAGTAAACTGAGCCGTCAATAAACATGGAATCAAAGTTATCCTGAAAAATTTGGGAAGCCTTGGAGGCTTTTTTTCCATGATAATTACAAAATAGGTTACTGTGTCTATAATTGAATTACACTTGAAGAACTCAACTATGATAACATTGCATCTTTTTTGCTTAGAATGGAGAGCCGTATTGGATGTTTTGCTTGCATGGCTGTGATTATTAAGACAGTCCTTGGATTGCAAATTTTCATAACATTATGATTTAATTGGTTGTCCTAAATTAAGTTGAAAATGTTTAACTGAAGTAATCAATTAAGAATTATATGAATAAGTGAAGAAAGCAGTTCTGGCTATGCAAGTATGAATATCTGGAGGAAAGCCAGGATAAAAACCCAATAACAATAATTACAATAACTTGTGTAAAAGAAAAATACCCAGGATTTAAAATAATGAAATACCAATACAGAGTATTCTTTATGAAATGTCCATTGGTTATATTTGTTTACATTAATTTTGTGTGTGTTTTGTGTGTGAAAATGGGGAGAGAATTAAGAACAAAATTCAATATGGTATTTTTATATCTCACTCTAATCTTAGTTAGGTAATAGGATGTAATTCCTGCTTTGATTGGTTTGGGTATCAGTTTCATAATTTGTCACTAGTAAATCACACATTATAAACTCCATTTATTAATAGAGGTTTTTTAAAAAAAATACACACAGAGAATACATTAATGTTTATTATTGTCTTGGGTTCATCATATTACATATTAATCTGTTTTATGTGGTGTCCAAAAAAGTTTAATAAACCGTCGAAAAGAAGGATGGTTAATCAGTTTAAACAGGTAAATACTAATTACGAAACTCCTGAAAGGCATCCATTATACACTATCTGAAAACAAATTTTACAGCCCTGGTTAGTGGTGTAATCCAAATTCTGTCAAGGCAACTGCATTTTCTGTAATTGAGATGTGTATGTTTGCTTTGCATAACAGATGGCTCTGTATGCTTAGACTGATAGCTAGGAAAATAATAATTGCATTATTCTGGCCAAAAGAATATTAGCTCTTGGGCTGGGGCCATTTTAGGCAGTCCTCCTGCCAGCACAGCATATGCACATATATGGATTCGATTTTCAAGGAAATTGATGCATCTGGAATAGTGTCACCATCTGAAATATCATCTGTTCAAGAAAAAAAAGTTGGCTTTAACCCTGTCTGCATCCTCCTTGCTGAGAGCATACTCCTGTAGTGAGCTGCAGCACCGTTACTCAAACTTTTTTGAACTACAGGCAGACCCAGCTTTCCACAGATTAAGGCCCTCCAGCTGCCTACAATTTCAGCTCCCATAAACCAAAACCTAGACTCTGGGGCAGGTTATTGCTTTTCTGCTTACAATAGTGGGTTGACTGTAGCATCTGGCCAAACAATAGGGAACACCTTTCTCTTTTTTAGTCAGTGCTTTGCTGAAAAACATATGATTAAAAATAAGACGGTGTAATTGCCAATAAAATGAGTAAAATCTGCTTCCTGAGGTCAAATATTCTGCTTCAAGGGGCCAGCCTTTGGTTGGAAAAGAAAGGGGGCATCATACTGAGTTCAGGATAGGTTGGCTGCTTTTTAAAAATGTAAGGAAATATTTCTCAAGATCCCTGATGTGATTATTTTCGCCGTTGTTGCAGTGCAAATCCATTCAGAGCAGCTTTGATCCCACTGAGAACACTTTGATGCAGTGGACAGATGCATAGCCCTTTTGATGCCCCGGGGAAGAGCTGTATTGCTCTCTCCGTTTTTGAGAGAGGAAGTGCAGAGCCTGCCAAAACAGAGATTGGCACAGGAGTTGAAGAGGGTCATTATTTAATCTCTATACAATATATCGAAGTTTCTTGTCTGTTTCCGCTTGGCAAAACGACCAGCGGAATTAGCTAGGTAAGATTTGGGAGCTGTATTTCTATTCATGTAGGGTTTTCTTCATACTATATCCCTATCATTCATGACCTGCTCTTTGCAGCTTGAGCATTAGTGATAGGTTCATTATCATTTTCTCTGGAATGACCTGCAGAATTGTGTACACATCTTTGACATTCTGGGTATTTTGACAAGATGGTTTCCTATCCATATGTGTCCAATCGCAAAATAGTTACCTAGCATCAGATCATAAAATAGCTATTTATTGAAGGCAAACTGGTGACATTGCTTCCCACTGTTTCCTCCAGACTCCAAGAATGCTGTCCTCTATTTCATCTTCCCTGTTTTTTTCTGAAAGAATCTGGAGACCTTGTGCCATCTTTCCTGTTGTTCAGAATTCATCTGACAATCCATAATAATCGTTACAAATATAGATGACGCTTTGGGCTGAAAACCTTTCTAGACAGTTTTCTATTTCTTGGGTTATTATTTAAAAATAAACGTTCCCTTTTCCCACTTTCTCCAGTACCAAGGGCACGGAAATACCCTTTTACTCATCTTTAACGTATTTTCCAGGTTGAAGTGGCTTCAGAGTTTTGACAATACGGTGTGCCAAAATAGATAAAACAACAATGGGACAGGTTGATGCTTCCTGTTGAAGTACCACTCAAACTTTGGGAAAAGAGAACTCTGTCCCTCTTTGGCCTGCCACCATTGCATATCAGTGGGATGTGGGGAAAGGGTAGAGAGGGAACATTATTGAGGTTTAGGCTACAGTGGAGTCAGTCAGGAGGGGAATTGTTCTCCATCTTGGATTGCAAATAAAGGAAGAGAAGGGATGCTAGGTTTTTCTCTTAAAAGTATTAGAGCCCCCTGAGACTTAGGCTGACTGTGAAGCATTGAGACATTCATGGAAATATGAAACATACATGATCACAGTAAGCAACAATTCTTCATATAAATGAGCAATTGAGAACGATACTGATCATTCAGGAGGGAGGGGAATCAAAGCTTATCTATAGATGGCCAAATTTGCATCCTTAGATGCAACAGTTCTAATTCTAGTTCTAAGGTATTGTGTCTTTGATCTTGGGTATGTTCAAGTAATTTGTGTCCCAAAGGCATCGTATATTTCAAATTGGGAGAGCTGCATTTTATATGAGACTGTTACTCAGCAGCTCATATGTTTGCCTATAAACCTCCTTTTTAAAAAATCTTGGAAAAGAAAAAGGAGTGAATATATTTAAAAGAATAAATGGGTGCTTAAGTTACAAATCTATAAACTATTCCAAGTATCATGCTACCTTTTCCCCAGAGTTCCGAGATTGCCAGTCTAATAGCCTTTCCAGCAGCTATGATGTTTTCAGTATTCATCACTAACAGTGATTGCAATAATCCACACTAAATTAAGCATTCTAAAACTTTTATTTACTGCAGAAGAAAGCGAACATCAACAGAAATTACTGTGCCAGCGCAAGCTCAAAAAATTTTCCAAGTGTGAAGATCATTGTAGCGACCTGTTATGTTACTGAATTCTTGTTTTTAATAAAAGTGCCAGGAACACGCTTTAAAGGGCTTTGGACTTGCTTTGAATTCATAATACTGTAATTGCCATAAAATAAACACTGCTGGGTTCCTGCTATTAACTGGCAGAGGTTGCAGATCTTTACATAAACTTTAGTTTTTCAGGAATTTAATTGTTCAGTAGTGTTGGGTTTGTATTTTTTGAGAGTAATGTTTCAGTGACATCTTCAGTGACGTCTATGTGTACGGTGTATATGCTGCCTTTTCTCCAGAAGTATAAGGCACCCTATATGGGATTCTCCCTTAATTTAATTCCCATAATAACCCTATGAAATACGTTGAGCTAAGAAATAGTCACCCAGGGAGTTTCCATGGATGATCTTGGGTTTCCACAGTTCTACTCCAAAACTTTAACTATAGGATCAGAGTGGTTCTTTTCTTAACTTTGATTCTGTTGCTAAATATTCAAGCTGGTTTTAGAAAAGGCTGAGGAACAAGATACAATATTGTCGATGCATACTAGATAACTGAGAAAGCCAATCATTCTAAAATGAAGTCACTATATGCTTTCTTGATTATAGAAAGCTCTTTCATTGTTTTGATTGATTGTCAAGTTGTGGAATGGCCTTAGGGAAATGGAAATCCTAAAACATCTCATTTACTTTATGTGAAACCTATGCACCTGACAAGAAGACACAATCCAGGCAGAACAAGGTGAAACAGACTGGTGGCAAATTAACAAAGGAGTAAGATAAGGCTGTATATTTTCTTCTTATTTATTAAACCTATATCCTAAATATATATTGAGGGAGGTGAGATTGGAAGAAGATGAGTATATTTTTAAATCTAGAGAAAGAAGCACCAATAACCTGCTGATAACTCTTTTCTGAAAGCTGAAAATGTAAATGAACTAGTAATGAAAGTCAAGGAGCAAAAAAAATGTGATTAAGTATAAGGGAAACCTAATTAATGAGAACAGATACAGCAACCAGTA